GGGGGGTGTCCAGAATTACGCTTGTATTGATCAAAATAAGCGACATTGGTGCCACAAAGTCGAAGATCCAAAAGTTGTTTTCGTTCATACACCAGCAGAGCGTTGATGTCACAGATGAGAAATGAAAAAAACACCAAAAATACGAACACCATCAGCAGAGGTGGATTGCAAGCCATGTACACAGGCGCCATCTTACCGGAAGATTTTATTAAGTAAAAGTTCAACTGAGACACACCTTTGCTATAAAGTTGATCAAACAAATAATTGTTTTTACGTGGGTATCTTGTTAAATTTCGAAGCAATGCACAGCGAGTCGTCCCTCTGTGTACTCCCGTGAATTGCCTTTTGAAATGCAGTTGATTTGACCGTCAAAGTGCATTTATTAAGGAAAAGTTGGACTGAGACACACCTTTGCTATAATTTTGAACAAACAAATAATTGTTTTTAAGTGTTAATCTTGTTCAATTCTTGTCAAAATCCTCCTGTGCACGCTCCCACGGCCACCATTTGGCAGCCAATCAATTTTTGGCACAACACCGGCCCATGTTTCTAGGTTGTCAGTAGTGACGTGTAACAAACACGACACGTCAGCGCTGACACAGAATAGATTCGAATTATAGGGAGAAGTGACGTATTTATGTATTTTTCCACTTTAATAGACATATTTGGACTGATGCAACTTACAAGGTGGTGCAACGTGTACGGCAGAAAATACAGTAATCTTTTTGTTTTATGTATTCATTGCCCACCTGCAAAAGGAAGAAGGCAGGAATTTAATGATTAAAACAGGTTAATTCTGAAGTGCCAGCTGCTAAGTACAAAAAGTCTAGTATTGAGTACAAGAAGGGGGTAGAAATTGGCCAAAACAAAACAAGTTAACTAAACTGAACATGTATTGTTAAATTTGATCTTCCTAAACTCTCTGTGGCCACTGGTTAACTAGAACTCTGATAGCATTTTCAAATTATTATTATGATTTGAAAACTGGGCAAAAAGTCCCAGTAAACACTTGGACAAGATTCCTGTCTGCACCACTGCCATATCACTACAGATGTGGGGTAAACAGTAACGTGCAGAAACATCTTAGTGGAAATACAAGAGCAAAGCCCATAAGCATGAGAAAGAATTTACAACAACACGCGTTCCTCCCATCACTCCTCGCTCCTACCTGGGATGAGAAACTTGAAGGGAAATGCATGCTCCCCCTGTTTCAGAGTTCCTGTATAGAAAGGGAGAGCACAGAGAACATCCGTCAGCAAAAACTAAAACAATCGCCCCTCTGTGTTCCACCGATATGCCTCAGGCTGCAGTGGAAAACACGAAACTTCACTTCTATGGTTCATACACTTCAGTTAGTTTTTTCTTTGTTTCTCAATTACAAATGTCTGAAATATTGTCACAGTGTAAAAACTACCAAACTGTCAAACACAACTAGACCAGTGACTCTGAAACTTGCACGAGTTAAGGTTTTGTGAATAACACTGTACCTTTGTCTGCAACAGAGACGCTGCTGTTGAAGTACTGCTCCTCCAGTGTCCAGTTGATGTCATTTTCCTTGGTGGTAATGCCACAGAAGCCGTTACAGTTCACTTTGATGGCTGGAGATGGAAACAGACACACCGAGGTGTTGGTGTCGGATCAAATGAACTCATGCCTGACAGCACATTGTGAGGTTTCATCAAGTCAAAGCTGGTCTAAAGGGTACAAAGAACCAAAACACCACATTAATGCTGAAAAAATAAACTGATGGGTTGTCTACATCACACAGGCCGAGAATCTACACACGAGTACTGTACCTTAATGAGAAACCTTAGACGTTTTAGTCAAACCATGAAAATATTGATGTTTTTTTAAAGTTTTTACAATGCATGTTGTATAATCTTTCATAGAAAAAAGATCCAACTCGATTAAAAGTTCTAAATAATATGGCATGAATGAAACTTTGATTACAGCTGTATGAGTGTTGCGCTGTAACAACAGATTGTCATCCTCTCACTAATAACACATTCAAAAGCAAACGCCTGACTGAAGGTAGAGCTGTAAATAATTGACAAGTTGTATGGCACCACCATGTTGGGATACAGTCAGTACACAGCACCAAGACTTTTGTGCATTTATCACAATTTATATCACCACACAGTGATAAATAATTAATGTGCACAGCGCATGTTCTTCCAATGTAGGGTAGCGTTAACATGTAAGGTCAGTCAAAGAGATATGTGCATGACAGATGCATGGATGCAGAGTAGTAACAGTTTTATAAACTACAAGTCATCCGGCCATCCATTATCTTTCGATTGTTCGGAAGTCGGGTTGGGGGGGCAGCATCTTGAGCAGGAAGGCCCAGACATCTCTTTGTACAGCCACCTCTACTGGGAGGACTCCAAGATGTTCCCAGAACAACCGAGAAACATAGTTTCTCCAGCATGTCCTGGCTAATCCTCCATGAATCGACAGCTTATGGTGGTGGAGGAGTTTGTGCACCTGAATGATCCAAGGAGATATGCTGTCGGGTGCAATTGTATCTGACCTGGTAGGGTCTCCCAAGGCAGATTGTTTCTAAATGACAGGCCAGACAGAGAAATACGAAAGATTTATATGGACAGCAAAAAAAAAAGGAGCTCAGTCTTCCTTTACTAAATGTGGGTTACCGGGGCCCCACCCTGGCCAGGCCTGGGAAAGAGGCTCATCGGTGAGCGCTTGGTGACCGGGTCTTCAACGGGGCTGTATGAAGGGGAGTGTGTGTGATGTGTGTGTGTGGTAGAGTTCAGTATGAATATGTGTGTGTGTGGTA